ATAAGGATTTAACAAAAGAATATTACTTAAAGAAAAAGAGAGCAAAGAAAGGGGGGGAAAGGAACAAAAAGGACAAAAGGAAGGGGGGAAAGTGTGACATGACGAGACTTAACAGCATCCACAAGTTTGTGAAACCAACATGGATGAAAGAGAGGGGAGAGTGTAGAAAAAGAATTATGTACATACAAACAAGATAGAGGAAAGAATTAGAGGGCTACAAATTAAAGGAGAAAAATTTAAGACCTTGGCCTTTGCCGATGATATGGTGTTTATTTTAGAAGATCCTGAAAACTCAGCAGAACAACTATTAGAAACATTAAGACAATATAGTGATGTAGCTGGTCTTAAGATAAATCATAAAAAGACAAAGATTTTGGTTAAAAATTGTGATGAGGGAAAAAAGAAAAAAATACAGGAAATAACAGGCTTTGAAGTTTGTAAAAAAGTAAAATATTTGGGAATAACTTTAACAAATAGATGTTGTTCTTTATATGATGATAATTACCAAAAAGTCTTGGGGGAAATAAAAAAAGATCTAGAGAGATGGAAATCATTACAATTTTCACTGCTGGGTAGAATATCAGCAGTGAAAATGAATGTTCTACCCCGAATATTGTTTCTCTTCCAAACAATACCGGTTTTGAGGAATCAAACCTTTTTTAAAGAAATAGAAAAAATAATAAAAGGCTTTGTCTGGCAAAATAAAAAACCACGGATTAAACTAAAATATTTACAGGAAAGGAAAATCAGAGGTGGTCTGGCGTTACCAGATTGGGCTTTGTACTATAGAGCAGCAGCGATGAGCTGGCTCCGAGATTGGGTAACATTGGACGATGATAGGATTTTAAAACTTGAGGGCCACGATTTGTGGATGGGCTGGCACTCGTATCTGTGGTACAATAAGGCCTCAGTACACAGTAATTTTAAACATCATACAATAAGAGGGGCATTATACAAGGTTTGGGATGAAATTAAAGTTAAAACATATGTGAAATTCCCTAGATGGATTTCACCAATAGAAGCGTTTGTGAAACCATCCTTATATAAAAGGTATAAAAAATTTAAATATCAGGATTTTTTAGATGAAAAAGGTGACATGAATGCAAAGGACATTTTAAATGACAAAGATCTAGAAATGACTTGGTGGGAAAAGAGGCAATTAATATCATGTTGGATGTCAGATTAAAAAAAGGGTTTTTATGATACATTAACGGAATTAGATAAAATATGGACAGGAAGCGAAATGAAGTTTATAAAAAAGGCGTATAACTATTGGTTAGAATGGAAAATGCAAGACGAAGAGGTTAAACCATCAATGATTGCATGGGCCAGAGATATAGGCCATACGTTGTTGCTAGAGCAATGGGAAAAGGTTTGGGAAAAAAATATAAAATGGGTTAGAGCAACCTCATATAAGGAGAACATTATAAAAATGTTTTATCGATGGCACATATCTCCAGTTAGACTGAATAAATTTGACAAAACAATTGGGAAAGTATGTTGGAAATGTAAACAAAGGGATGGAACCTTTTATCATCTATGGTGGACATGCAATAAGTCTAAAAAATATTGGAAGATGGTAAAAGAAATGGTGGAAGAAATATTAGGTAGACAAATGCCATTTGAACCAGAATGTTTTTTATTGAATTTTATCCCAGATGATTTCAAAAATAGGGAAAGTTATTTAGTGATGCATATAATCACGGCAGCTAGGATTCTATATGCTAGTAAATGGAAAAATGAGGATATTCCTACAAAAGAAGAACTGAAGCTAAAATTAATAGATGTAGCGGAACTAGAGAAACTGACGTTTCTCTTGAGGGAAAAAGGCTGGGAAGAGTTTGAAAAATTTTGGGCAAAATTTTATAGGTGGATAAAACTGATATGATAACGAAAGTTAAACATAAGGCATGTAAGATAATTAAGTTCTTAAAATTATGGGTACTGTTTGATTTATTAGAATTTTGTATTATAGAATAGTTGGAATGAAGTGTTCTAGACTTGATAAGAAAAGTGAAGGCAATACTAATGATATGATGGGAAGAACTCTGCACAAGTTGATGTAAATATGAGTAACAATGGTTATTGTTATTAGATTTGGTGGGAAAATGAATAAAGAAAATATTTTTTTTTAAAAAAGGCAAATTATATGAAATGCTATGAGGGCTAAGTTACATGGTAAACGATAGGAATGACTTAATGAGGAAAAAACCAAGGTATGTGATTAAAGAATGAAATGTTTTTTGAAGTTTAGGTGTATGTTCAAAGGGGAAAGAGGAGTTATAATAATGTAATTGTTAGAAAGAAATAGCCAAAATGAATTAATTTTATGGTTGTGACTCTTTCCTTGGTGTATGATGAGAAATTTATTTATTATTATTAGTTTGTTACATGGTAAAATATATGAATGATTCTATGAGGAAAAATAAGGTATGTGTTTTAAGGATGAAATGTTCTTGGAAGTTTAGGTGTATGTTTAAAGGGAAAAGTGGGGTTATAATAATATATTTGATAGAAAGTAGTAACCAAAATGAATTAATTCTATGGTTGTGCCTCTTTCCTAGATGATGAGAAATTTACTTAATATTATTATTTTGCCTTTTGCTGTACAAGTATTTATATTGGGTATTTTGAGGTAATATCATGTGTATTTAGCTGTGAAAAAACAAGCTTACAATAGTATTATTTTATACAAGACTAAAGTACATTAAGAAATAGTAAGGAAAGTTAATGTTGCCTGAGAAAAGAAAAATTGTTGGCGTTGTGGTTGAGAAAAGAATATAGGCTTAGTAATTAATTATAGCTCTCAAATGTGAATAACCATGAGTATAGTTGGAAGAATGGAACATACTGTTGGGGGGGGAAAGGTGTAATGAAAGAGGGCGAGAAAGTTATATTAAATAAGAGTATGTGAGTGTAATTGTTTTGGTAGAAGGTAGGAAAATAGGAAAAGAGAAAATTGGGGAAAGAAATAATGAAATGGTGGGTAATAATCAGGCTTAAAATTTGTGGGGAACAAAATAAATACAAGGTAAAGCAGATGAGTTTGAGGATGATGTCAAAATTATAATGCTAAAGATTAAACTATTGGGTACGGGAAGTAAAAATTGGTCTAGACAAAAATAATTCCTAAGCTAGTTAGAATAGGATTTAGATGTGTATGGTAGTAATGTGCAGACACAATAGAATACTATCTTTGAGCAAATGGAAAAATGTATAATGATTAAAATGTAAAATCACGCCTAGAAAAAGAAAACAAATATTAACTTTTTTGGAATTATTACTTGTAATAGAAATGTTTAAAACAAAAATATAGTCAAGTTGAGATGGATGGATATGTTGGAAAGAAGAATAGATCTATGCAAATTCTTAACTGTAATAGTGAGTAATGTATATGTTATTGCAAGGAAATGTACTTGTGGTGTTTAGGTGGTGGGCATTTCTAAGGTTCAAAAACCCAATAAAAATACTATTTAATTTTAAAAAATCCACTGGGTGTCCCCCCGGACTTCCGGTTTTGGCGAGCTGATGGCGGCCATTTCCCCGGGGCACCCCTGGGGGGCGATCCGTGGACCAGCGCATTGAGAGGGGGCCCGACTGTTCTCATCCCTCCTGGGAATCTTGCGATGAGTCCCTTGCCATGGGGCACTGAGGGTCGCCTCTCTGCGGGCATGCTGGCAGCAAATTGAGGCTTCCCTTTGCCCCGAAGGTCTCTGCGCTGTGTTCCTGAATGGGACTAAGCTACGCACACCAGGACAAGCATTAGGAGGTACAGCGTAAATCGTTACCTGGCGAGATCCGAGTGATCAGACATTGAAGACTGAGTCCATTAAAGCGAGAACACCAGAATATGTGCAAATCCCCTTTTACTAAAAGCGAGGGGGGAGGGGACTCTCCCCCGGAAAGAACAAAAAAAGCGATTAAAGAAAATTCTTTGTAGAGGGGACGAGTTTTAAGTGGCAACAGACTGTACTAGAGAGATTCCAGGAGTTAAACAAGTGTTTGAGCAAGTTTTCAGGACTTTGGCAAATTTTATGAAAAGTAAACATCTTTAAAAATGGCGATCGGCGATGTAAGCAGCAAGCGAGATCCAAGCTTTCTTCAGGACTTCAGCAACTGGCCTATGTGACCAGGAGGAACCATAGACTCTTTCATGCTATAAGCTAAGACGCTGCCCTCTGCTGGTAAAAATGAGCTACTTCACAAGAACCGTGTTTTACATTGGCTGTCATTTTCAAGGGACTGTGTTAACATTGGAGAAGCAATGTCTTTGATCACAGCGACTTCCAACAGTTAAGAGAGTCTAATGAGCAGGCATAGTGGTAGGGCCCGTATGCAGACGTTTAAGCGAAGCCGAAAGCGAATGGGTGTGCAATGGACATAACTGAAATAAGTCTGCCGGGCAAAAGCGCGGATAGACTCTCCATAAGTTTGGCTTTTAAAAGCAGCAAATGGAATGATCTCTAAGACTGAAGGCAAGTATTTAAGCGGACAAGCTCTTGAGATAAAAGAAGAACGGACTTTGTTCAGAGATGACCAGTTCCAGTTTTAGCAAGACAATGCCACAGGGAAAACGTTTAAGAAAAAAGAAGATTACAGTGCGGGAAGAGAAATTGACTGCGTTATGACTACTGAGGAAAATTTAATCATTAATTTGTTTTAAATGAAGGAAGGGAATAGCAATTGTAAAATGAGATGCCACTGTTCTCTGAAATTTGTGTTTAATTTGTGAACATAATTGATGATGATGATGACTGATCACTCTCAATGTTCTGAAAAGCAATTTTTTATATTGTTAAGCTAATATTGTTATAAGCAGTATATGACCTCCAATTCTTGGGCTTTTAGTGGGTTTTCTTTTCTTTCTCCTACAGTTTGTACAGCCCTTCCCTAATTTCTTTGTAGTTTTTAGAAAATGCAAATAAAAAATTCCCCTTCTGGGGGGGGGGAACCAAATTCACTGGGTGCCCTAATCGTATCCAGGCACAAAGAGTCCTTACCACAGGACAGGACATCTTGGACACGCTCCATGGCCTGTACCCTCTGCTCTTGCTCCAAGGAAGGTCTTTCTGCTTCAGGGATTGTAGCTTCTATCTTCAGGGATGGTGCCCACATCTGAAACAGCAGCAAGGGAAAGGGGTAAGTGACGGAATGAAAGTGACCAAGAAATGGATCCTGCCGCACTCCCGGACTCTGCACCCTTCCATCAGCAGACTGGGTGAGTTATCTGGAGGGATCTGAAATTCTCCAGTAGAAGAGGCTGCTGAAGGAGACTGTAAAATCTCTCTTTTGGATGATTCACACTTGGAGAAATATCGCTCATGGACACTTTAGGTTAGGATAAGACCAGATATCATTGCTTGAACCAGACATGGAAATCCCCTCCCCTGCCTCTTCTCCTCTGCCTGACTCAGGAGGAAACCCTCGGCCAGGGCCACCGCCTGGGAACTGGTCTCCGGCCCGCACCCTCTGACCTAGTACTGCATTTCCTGGGGCAGGAGAGTCAGGAACTGCTCCAGGATCACCAGGTCCAGGATCTGCTTCTTGGTGTGCTTCTCTGGCTTTAGCTACCGGTTGCAAAGTCCATGGAACTGGTTGCAGACCTCGCAGAGCCCGTTGGCCTCATGGTAGTGGAACTGCCAGCAATGTACATCCGAGGTCATGGTATCCTTAGCCAGGACCCCTGACACAGCTCTTTCCCAGAATTCAATACCACTTCCAGGTTGGAAGGGATGGGGGCCTCTCCTTGCTCTTTTGCCAGTTCCAGGTTGTTCTGGGTCCTTCTGAGTCCACCCATTTATCTCTCTTTCTCTCCTCTCTCTCTCTTATTTATACCCCACTCTCACAGCGAAGAGTCACCTCTATCAGTGAAAACATGCCTTTATGAAGGGAGGCTCCTTCCTGAGGGGACAGAGAGGGACAGACAGCAGCGTGTCAAAAGGAAAATTAAAAAGAATGGAAATACACCACGGAAGATCACAAAGCTTCATAGTAAGACTGGCCCTGGTGGACCAGAAGAAAGGTGCTTCTTGTGGTTTGTAGACCAGGTTTAAGATCAGTTCCCCACATTATAAACCAAGCTATTCTAGATGTGCCTCCTTGGTTCTTTGGGAAAGTTACGTGTCTCTGTTTTGCTCTTTGAGGATCCATTGAAGCTCGTGGCCAGTCGAGTCAGGCAGACAGAAAGCGCTTAAAATATGGAATTCACTGCCAGTGGGTGTTGTGATGGCCACAAAAAACACAGCTTGAAAAAGCAGATTAGATAGATTCATCGAGGACCAGTCTATTGGTGGGTACTAGCTATGGTGGCCGAGGGGAACCTCCACATTCAGAGGCACTCAACCTCTGAATCCCAGAGCCAGGAGGCAAAATCAAGGTTCTTCTTATGTTCTAATGAAAGGGGCAGGTAGTCGTTGGTGTGAAAGACCTAACTTTGCCCAAGACCCTGCCAGTCTGAGTAGACAACTCTCACCTTAATGGACCGATGGTGTCATTCAGTGTAAGGCAGTTTCATGTGCCTGCGGTTATGTGTGTCTCGCTCCATGTCAGCAAAGTCAGTTTGCCCCACACCACACTGTTCCAAGATGTGCCTTCCCCTCTCTGGCTGTTTTGGAGAGAATGTGGTCACGTGGATGCCAAGGGCATCCAGGGGCAACAGCCATGGCATGGCCTCACCACACTGAACTGTGGTGGTGGTTCTCCACATGGCCCTGAGTTTCAGAAAGTCCCCACCGGAGAAGAAAGTCTTCAGAAGATTCCTTCCAAGGCCTGTTCTTACCTGGTTTCCTTTGCTTCCAGGGTCACCCTGTTTTCCAGGGCGGCCCTAAGAGGAGAGAATCGCTGTCAGAACATTGGTTTATTAAATGTAGACTTTAATTTGGCTGGGCATCTGTAGGCAGAGGAGACCAGAGCACTTCCTGTTCAGAATAGCTTCTAGGCCAGAGACAGCCTGAGCACTTCCTGTTCAAAGTGGCTGCTAGGCCAGAGGAAGCCTGAGCACTTCCTGTTCAAAATGGCTGCTAGGCCAGAGACAGCCTGAGCACTTCCTGTTCAAAATGGCTACTAGGCAAGAGGGATGACAGGAAAAACCCCACAGTCATAAATGCTCACAGGAAAAAAGCCCACGTGGAAAAATGGCCCCATGGAAATAAGGCGACACGGATTTGTGAATCACGATAATTTGTGTTGTGATTTTATCAAGTATAATACTTTCAGCCAGGGGTCATTTCGTAGAAAAAGAGGTGCAGGAGCTCATTAGCTTAACTCATTAGCATAACTCATTTGCATATGCCACACACCCTATATCACCGGACGTGTGTCAGAAGGCAACGCCCACCACTCAGGATTCACTGGACTGTTTTGGATTGCTAGCTATTGGGGGGGGGGGGCGTACAGCACTGTCCTCGCAGAGGAAGGAGAGCTTGTACCTGAATAAAACTTGGTCTTAAAGATGCCACTGGACTGTTTTGGTTTGTTAGCTATGGGGGGACAGGACACAGATCTGCCCTCAAGGACAGGGCCCGTGCGAGGTTTTTTTGCACACTAGGCGAGGCTTCCTTCTGCCCCCCCCCCCCCGTGTGCCCCCCAAGTTTCAAACATAAAGGCATTTTGGAAAGAATGAAAAACACAAAATTTGAAATTGCTAATTTCTTTTTTTTAATTGTGAGAACAAGTAATAAAATCTCTGATTTTCTCTCTCAAACCGAAAAATACGAATCACAAAGCATTTCGAAAAATCCTGTTAATTGTGATGTTGAAATTTAAGTCTCTTTAATGTTTCCATTTGCAAATCACTAATGATCACTGTGTTCTAGGAAAAGCCCTTGTCCCTTTAGGACAAAAAGGCAAAGCAAAATAGATCTAAACATGATAAATCTCTTTGAAAAATAGCTAAAAAAAACCCTATGTAAAACCCAACAACGCTGAAAGCAAGCTTCCAAACCAACTTTAATAATTCTCATAGGTATGCTGGCTTGTCGGAAAATCACGCTGAATTTCATGGGACTAGAAGAGAGGGACCTCAGATTGCAGCAGAGAGACCTGAACCACTTCCCCTTTACTCAGAAGCAAGCTCCAGAGAGCTCAGTAGCATTTACTGACAAGTAAGTATGCTGAGGACTGTGGCGTTCTTTGCCACAGATCCCAAATGGTCTATGTACTTAAAGAAACTTAAACAGCCGTCAGATCCCAGGAAAGAAATGCAAGCTATGGAGAGAAGGGAAAACCAACCCGGCTTCTTCTGTTGCTGTTCGGTTTCCTACCCTTAATCGGTTAAAAACAAAAACATATTTGTCTGCCAGCCCTGCAAAAGACGTGTTGGGAAGGTTGTTTGGTTATTCAAATGAAGCGGGGGATCGGGAGAAGAGACATCCGACAACCGCTTCAGCCTCTGGTCTCCCCGGTACATCTATACCAGGTAATATTCCCATCTCTGGAGCTGAAGGAAGCAAGGCAAAGGAAAGCCCTCTTGCTGAAGTTACAGGAAGAGAGCAGAGCCCTTGGGTGAATTCAAAGAGTAGAGATGAACTAATTTAAGTATGCCAGGATTAAAACGATCCCTGCCATTGTAAGCTCTGCTGTCAACGAGTTGTTGTTTTTAAGTGACTTTCCAAAAGAAAAACACAGGGAAAAGAAACGGACGGGGTTTTGCACCCCTGCTGCTACAAGACAAGGAGTCATTTGGAGAATCAGTTAGCGAGAGAGGCGGATATGTCTTGTTTGTGGGTTTGTGTGTATTGGGCGGGGAGTGAAATGGATAGACAGGACTTAGAGGGAGTGCAAGAGAGGCTTTGATCATCCGGTCCGAGTTGCTGCGTTTTGTGTGTTTCCTGGAGCTGGTATGCGGGGCTCTCCTTATTTCCGTCATGTGCATCTTTTCATGACTGCCTCTCCCCCCCCCACCCCACCCCACCCACACTTCCAATTTCCCACAGTGCACCCGGACTCTTGTGCTGACACCAGCCTAGACTTCCATCCCGGGACTAGCCCCCCCATCCCACCCAGCAAGGGCCCACCCCGACCCTGCCCGCGGTCCACCCCACTCCCCCGAACCCAGGCGGACCCAAACCTTGGTGGCTGCACAGCTGGGGCAGATGGCGCAGGAAGGAGACATACCCGCACGTTCCCAGACCGCTACCCACTGTGCTCAGCCCCCACGCCGGAAGCGGTGGCTGCAGGGGCGATGGCGGGGGGGAGGTGGGTGGGTGTTTCAGCCGCTCCGCATGGAGGCACGGGCTGGTGATGGCGCGGGGAGGAGGGTGTTCTGGTGGCCCCACAAAGAGGCATGGGACGGCGATAGCGAGGGGGGAGGTGTGCGGGTGCTAGGACTGCACAGATGCCCCATATAAGCTCTGGCTGGTGCTGGTCCTTCTCCTCGGGAGTCAGGTCTTTACCTGCGGAGCACCCATCATTTGTCCCTCCCGACCTCCCTCCTCCTTCCCAACAATTGCTGGGAGAAGGGGGCGGGGCTGTCATGTGCCCGCCCCCTCGGCTCCTCACTACCGGAGCGCCGCTCCCCCGCACTCCGGCCCCAACCAACCCATGCTTTCAGCTATCTTTCGGCTATGCGCCTGCAGAGTGCAGGAGGTTGGACTAGATGACCTGCAAGATCCCTTCCAATACTAACATTCTATGATTCTATGATATATATATAATTGTCTTACACATTGGCCATTTCCAGCTCTCCCACTGGCTGTGTTATGCACTCCATCAGCCATTGGCTATTCAACTGCCACTCAAGAGTACTCACGTGCCATTGGCTGGGTGCTGGGTCTGCTCCTGTGGGACTAACTTATCCCTCAGTGGCTGTTGCTAGGCAACCAAGCTTGGTTCTGTCAGTAAAAAGACAAAGGAAGTAAACCCTATCCAGGCCTTTGTGAGGAACTCATATGGGCCAGGCCTGACTAGGGTTGCCAGCTCCAGATTGGGAAATTCCTTGATATTGTGTGAGTTTGGGGAGGGGAGAGGCCTCAGCTGAATAGAATGCCATAGAGCTCACCCTCCAAAGCAGTTATTTTCTCACGGTGGGTGGGAGAGATCTGTTGTCTGGAGTTCAGTTTTGATACGTGTAGGTTGGCTACCCTAGGCGAGGCAGTTAGCACTTCAGAGCAGGGTTT